CGAGATACGCTCGCTCGTTTGAAACTAAACGGACGCCTGGCTCCATTTTATCCGCGAGCCGAGCCGTAACTATCAATTTACCTATTTGTCCGGACGCCTATTCGCCCATTAATCTCCGTCGGTTGTCCAACGGCCGCTAAATTGCCCGTGTATGCGCGCGCGGCTGATTCCCTCTTTCTTCATTTGTCCGCCAGACACGGGACCGGTCTCCATTTCTAACGTATCGCTGGCGAACGCAACGTTTTTGCAACCAACAGGGTGGGATTTAATTAATGGAAGCGCGTAGTTTTTCATCGATTCCTTTAAAATATGAATACAGAGAGAGGGGGTTTTCGAACAAAAAAAAACGAGACCATCAAGCGCACGTAACGTGGAAAAACCCCCAGCTCTTACTTCGTTGCACAGTCTCTCATACGTTGGTCCGTATATATTTATTTCAATTTGTATCTCAAAGAAGAATATCGCAAACGTTACTTTAAAGCATCGCGCGCCGTATCTACCTTGGCACGTGGGTTTACTCATTTTTTTTCTCGCTTCCCCGCGCAATTACGTCTTCGCATTTCTTCTCGATTCTCCCGCGGAAGTCTATTATTCTGGTATATTGCAAAAACATGTACGCCGGACCACGCGAAGACGACGTGTGTGTCGCTCGCCGAGGAAAGAGAAAGAGAGAGAGAGAGAGAAAGAGAGAGAGAGAGAGAGACGATCCGCGCTTGAGAACACGACGGAAGGAAGGGGTGATCGATAGCGAATTCGCAGGGAGATGATACGCTCACCGCCACTGCGTGTCGCCCGTGTATGCGCACCCGGTCGATTCCTCTTTCTTCATTTGTCCGCCCGACACGAGACCGTTCTCCACTTCTAAAGGCCTGTGTCCACGATACTAGAACGTGGTCCAAGCTCTAGTTTCGAGAAATGCGTAGCCAATCAACTCGCGGCTGTTCCATAATGCGCTGCAAGCTGATTGGCTAGGCATTTCTCGAAACTGGAACTTGGACCAATGTATAGCGCCGTGGACGCAGGCCCTAACGTACCTATCGCTGGCGAACGCAACATTCTTTCACCTTTACCACCAACGGGGTGGGATTTAATTAACGGAAGCGCGTAGTTTCTTATCGGGTTGTTTAAATATTAATGCCGAGAGAGAGGGGGTTTTCATGGCTGCCGTTCGCGGCTCCGCCGTCACGTGTACTCGGAACGACCGCGTCTTTTAATCCCGCGAAAGACACCCCCTATCCCGCCCCCGGTAACCTCTCATCTCGCGAGGGCGAGCTATTCGGGTCACGACCGACGTTAATTTCGCTGTCACGCGGCGTACCGGCGGCCATAAAATTACAATGGAATCCGCGGCTTCGAACTTGCCGCGGGGGTCGCGAAAATCTCACGGGACCCGAGACCGGAACCGTGGGTGACGCGGGGTAACTTCGAAACATCCCACGTACGCGGAAATCTAACGTTGAAATTTAGAGCGTATTCAGAGTCCGCGCGCGCCAACTCTTACAACTATTCTATATATTCTCTATACTCCGAAATTCCAAGTTCGGCACTTGCAGACGGAGCCGTAGCCCGCGCCGTTCCGTACATATTCGCGAGCTGCCCCGGCGAAAGTTGGCGCGCGCATTTTCGCCGCGCGTTCGAGAGGCTCGGGGAGGCCGCGCGCCGCTCCGCGAGGTTGTACAAGTGCCGCGCCGCGGCGGGGAATCGCGCGAGTTGCATCGGAAATGTTGATTCGCCCGCTGGAAAGTTCCGCGTCGATACATCGATCAGTGTCGAATCGGTTCGCCCAATTAAGCGATATGTTCATCGTTTTAATAAAACAGGCACGTAAACGGCGAGCGATGATGCGCCGCGGCGATACGCGTAATCATCATCGTCGATGTTACCGGGCCCCGTTTCCCATTTCCGATATTACCCGCGGGCGGCCGTTAATAATGTAAATTGTCGTGGCCGGCTTTCTGTCGACGTAAATCGCGCGCATTGACGCGAATCAGATCGCTCCATCAAAAGTTGCGCGAGAGTTAATGCCGGGGATCGTTACAGAGTTAATGCCGACATACGCATGTACGGCATTAAATAAATGACACAATTATAAATGATTAGGATAGATTTGCATACGGAAAATTTATTTCGCGCAGCTAACGTGATAAAATCAGGATCGTGTTTTTAATAAATTTTTTATAATTTCAATAATAACGAGATGAAACGTTTGCGGAAGCGAATAAACAAAGTCGAGGAAAATAGCATTTTTACCGACGACGAGACGAAAAATTAAATTATTTGCCAATTATTGAGGCTAAGCGGAGACTTTTTAAGTAGAAAAATTAAAACGCAGGCTCGGCAAACGTGTACAACGATGTAATTAAATATTTAAAGCTTTTCTCGCGGAATTACGACATATTTTATGGAGTTTATTTATAAATTGCGCATAGAAATATTTATGAAATAAAACTTTGCGCTGGCGCCCGCGAGCACAACGCAAGAACTTTTTCTGTTACGAGTTTTTCTACACTAAACAAAAATTTTTCGCTACCATAGCTAATCATGATTTGCTGAAAATACGTTGCTGCATTAACTATGGTATACATTTCTAAACCGCGGCAAACAGTTTGCTGTCGCACCTAAGACAATGGGCACAGTAGCACAATATTAGCTGTCGCGGCTAAATATTAGCTGTCCATATTTTGCAACTGAAATTTAATTACCACGTGCGGTTTTTAACTAGGACAGCATTTTTTCCCGTGTATATCGAATAAATAAACACATGTACGCAGACATCGAATAAATAAGGGAGGAACTTGTGGCGAAACACAAACAGAAATTCCGTGCGGGGAGCGCACTGTAATTATGCAGTCGTTGTTGCAGAAATAACTTGGCGGTCGCCATTGCGCGAAATGATTAATTCCGCTCGTATATATGCCAAAGATCTTAAAGTCTTGACACGAATTCTCCAGAAGTTGGCGGTGACGACGCGACCTTAGAGAGAAGGGGGGGGGGAATACTTTTAATTAATTTATGCCACTGCTTTTTATTAACTTATGCCGAGTACTCGCGTTATTTCGTGCATCTGGAGTATTTTCCAACGATGAAAAAGAAAAGGGAGAGAGGATCCATCTCTAGGAGTCGCGAAACTTTTCGTATCTTCCGCGCGCCGAACTCGCGGCGGCCGCGAGAAACTTGAGGCTTGTTTTACTTGCGACCTCGTGTAAATAGCAGCAAGCTCGCCGAAAGGGAGACTGTAGTTTCGTGTGGACGAAGCATAATTGCCTGAGGTAGACGGCTTAAAAGAGAAGAATTGTGACAGCGAATAAAGCAGGGCTAAAAGACTTTTGCTTTTAGCGAGATGTAATTGTTTCCAAAATACATTTACAAATACAAGATGAATAAGTAGTTTATAAATAATATTATAAGTTATGTGATACGATATTCTTTGGTAAGACCGGGGAAGAGCGTAAAGAGTCAGACAAACCAGACTGAAAGTTAAATCCTTTTTGAGATAACATTTGAGATTGAAATTAAGCGAGACAACTAATATAAAAATATTCTTAAATGTCGCCAGCGGTAATCAACAACGTCAGTGTTTTCTTGACTATACCCGGAATTTTTAATAATACAGGAATTTATTGCGAAAAATATTATCTCAGCCAGGGTTTGGACCTGGACTTCTCTACACTCTAGGCGGGTCTCTCACCAATTCGACCACTGAGGCATGTAAACTTTCTGTATTATTAAATGTGCCAGATATGGTCAAGAAAACACTGACGCTGTTAAGGAGATTCTAAAGCCGCCTGTTTTAATTAACTAATTAATTAACTTTATAGAAATGCAAAACTCTTTTACGGAATTAAAGTACGCAGCAAAATCTAGACTATGCTGGTCGACTTTATATAAAAAATGAAACAAAATTAGAAATCGTACTAATTTTTAGTACACTTGGATACACTTTTGGCGACAATATTTGCTTCATACAAGAATTTCATAATAAATTGTGCAAAGTGAGACCAGCATACTCTAGGGACAACATGTAAGAGCCATATCGTGCAATTAGAACTAAGATTAAGAGCCTAGAAAAAAAGATTACTTCTAATAAACGCAAGTCCAGAAGAAGAGAAAAAGAGCAGCGTGGCGTGTAGAAATAGTTGCAGGCTTTTTCGAGAGAGAGATTGCTGCCAAACATGACATTGTCAGTAAAGCCATGGTGTTGACGATGCTAGAATTCGATCCAAAATCTCGGTCTGAGCAATGCGTAGCTAATAAAATTGCTGCGCTTTTTCGTAAGAGTTGCAAATTGATTGGCTATAAAGTTCTCGGACCGAGTAGAAGTTGGAATTAAAAATGTCGATAATTGACGTTTTTAATTCCGTCTCCTAGATTATCGACACTGATCGAGCTCGCGGCAGCTGACAATTGTTAAATCGGGACACAATTAAAAACATACACTTGAACAAGATGAGACAGTTTTGCAAAGAAAGGACATAAATTTAATATTCTGTCGCTTTAATATAAATTGTTACATACAAGGTTAAAGTTAAAAGGTCGTTTCGTTATTACGCAATGCATAAATGAAGATGCGTACAAATTACTATTAATAACTACGTATTGCTGTGTCACAGTAACAATTACCGTCGTAATGTAAATTCAAATAGACAAATGGTCATATTACTGTTTGGCTAATTCGATATTATCCCGATCGTTGATCGAACTTATCATTAATGTTATTGACACGCAGCCCTGAAATATTGCGAGGGGGGGTGCGTTTCTATCGCTTCTCTGCGTGGCGATCGCGTGTCTCCAGGTAATCAGTAATAGGCAAATACTTGAGCCATGTGGGCACAATCGATCAGCGGAGTTTATTTAGCGTTTATCGGAGCCGGCGCGGCGGATCGTCTTGGCGGGCGCTGCGTAAATATTTACCGTTTATGTCGCCGCGTTTGTCCCCCGCGTCGCCGGATCGATCGATCGATCTCTCTCACGCGGGAATATTCCCTTCGTTTTTCTTGCAGCCTGAGATCCCGCAAGCCTAGCGGCCTGGATACGGGCGGGGTTCGACTGGAGTTGAGTAAGGCCCTCGATCTCTGGGCCAGGAATTCGAAGCTCACCTTCCAGGAGATTAATAGCGATCGCGCCGACATTCTGGTCTATTTCCACCGGTGAGTTTAATTCACATTGAAATTCAATCGGTACAAGCTCTACTCATCCCGGCGTGCGTTATAGATATGTGTTTCGTACGATTCCGAGCGATTGAAACTGTTTTAACGCCAAGAACGTTAATTTCCAACAAATACTTTGCTATTGAATTGGAATTAATTAAAATGATGTAATTATTAGCGTATGATGATGCAAATTAATAAAATCGACGGGTTTCGGTATTTACGGTGACGGAAATTCGGACCGGGCGCCCGGGCTCCAGCCGGAACTTTTGGAGATTCCAGCTGCAGGCCACGTCGACGTTTCGAAATTACCTGCACCGCATGTGTGATGTAATAATAACGTCACGTAACCGTGTAAAATCGCAAACTGGCGATGGACGTTAACTTCGATGGCGACTGACGATTTTGTTCGGCAGAACGCCAGATAATATTCGCCGCGCGTTTGTTCAGGGGTTATCACGGGGACGGATACCCGTTCGATGGCAAAGGTCAAATCCTGGCGCACGCGTTCTTCCCGGGCAAGGATCGCGGCGGAGATGCTCACTTCGACGAGGAGGAAATATGGTTGCTGCAGGACGAGAGCCACGAGGAGGGTAAGTGGATTTTTTCGCATTCGGGAGTGTTCACGTGTCAAAGTTCAGATCTCTCGCGCGAACGATCGGCACTCGGTTGAAATACCGAAGTTATGAGCGATGGGAAAAGGAAGAGAAAGAGAGAGAGAGAGGGGGAGAACGAATTAGAGTTATTTTTTATAAATAAGCACAATACTATTTATTTCAAATAGAGTAGACCAGTATCGTTATGATACAAATTAAATAAGAAACTAATAAGAATATTCTTCAATGTCGCCAGCAGTAATTGACAACGTCAGTGTTTTTTTGACCGTATCTGGTATTTTTTATATCACATGCCTCAGTGGTCGAATTGGTGAGACGCCCGCCTAGAGTGTAGGGAAGTTCATGTTCAAACCCTGAGGTAATATTTTTCGCAACAAATTTTCTGTATTATCAAAAATGCCAGACATGATCGAGAAAACACTTACGTTGTTAAATGAGAAACTTTACAATATGGAGAGGGGGGAGGGTTATTGTATCGAATGCTAAGCATTTAAAAATAATTAGAAATCGTTTATCGATTTAAAACACCTGAATTCGCTGACGATGATTGAAAGTAACGGCGCGCAGGACAGGTGGAAACCGGTATATGAATTCACATATTAAATTAAAATTATCGCGCTACCTACGATACATCTTGGTCGGACATAAAATTTGGCTACTTATTTCAATTTCAACTAATAATAGTATTCTTCAATGTCGCCAGCAGTAATTAACAAAGTCAATGTTTTCTTGACCATACCTGGTATTTTTAATAATACAGAAAATTTACATACCTCAGTGATCGAATTGGTGAGACGCCCGTCTGGAGCGTAGAGAAGTCCAGGTTCAAATCGTGGCTGAGGTAATATCTTTCGCAATAAATTTTCTGTATTACTAAAAATGCCAGATATGGACAAGAAAACACCGACGTTGTTATATCAATTTCTTTATAACGAGTGAACTGTTCACTTTCGTTTCCTTCGGATTGTCCAAAAGGCTTCGAGAGATCGAACTCTTCGATTGTTACAAATTGGTCAAGCATCGGTCCGGCTAATTGTACATATCTGTACGAATATTCTTGAGGTTCGAGCGTGTCTCCTCTACCAGGTCGTGGACTTTCGCAAAGTTATCCAAGCCATTTGCGTTTTGTGGCGCGCCAACTCGGTCGTCCGATACAAGGCGCGGTCACACCTGTGAAAAAAGCGGCTCCGGATGACTCGGGAAAGTCCTCTCGATTCTATCGGGAGATAGGACGTTATATAGCCGGGCTGATATAAAACGCCGGATGGCACATAAAGGTATTCACGAGCAGCGTGTGCAGGCGAAGAATTGTTTGCGAACTTCCTCTATCGACTCTTTCAACGTCGTCCTTTTTTCCCTTTCCTTTAATGCGCAGTAAGGACGGCTTTGTCTCGAACTTTTCAAATATTGTCACGCGCATGATACATTTGACAACATTAATTATTACAGCGCAACACATTCCGGCCTTTTATTGCCCTCCTTTTAACGCAACGAAATTTTGAATTCCAAATATTTTCAATTTATTATACATTACCAAATGTATGTTCGAGAATTAAACGGACGATTGTTTAATTATTTTTACTCGCCTCTTTTGATACGAATAAAAATTTCTCTCTATGCAGAATTGCAACCTTTTTATTGCAGATGATCGAAAAATTTAATATGAATTTTCCAAAATAAAATCATAAAGAATTTTTTTTTCAATTGTTCAAGGCAGACTGTTTCATTTCTCGCATTTTCAAAAAATGCTTACACGTAACATGCGTGCTGGAACAATAGATACAAATAATGTTATAATTATACAATACCAAAGATATTAGATTTCTCGAATACAAGAACAGTCTTTCCTCCTCCTCCACGGGTCGAACGCTTCAGCTCATTATCCTCTTTGGTCGCGCTCCGGTGTGTCAATTGAAGTGAGTTATCGACAATCCCTGACGAAAGTTAGCAGGAAAGTGCAGACCCAGACAGAGACAGACAACCTGTTGGAATGATTAACGGTGTTTCCTTAACGGGTCGGCGTCGCGCATGCATTTAATTAGCGCACAATCGAGGCGACGTGACGATGCTGCTGACGAAGGTGGAGAGAAGAGAGAAAGAGAGAGGAGAGGGAGAGAGAAAGGGAGACAGCGAGAGCCGATTTCTCTCGGCACGAGTCGCGAGGATTCATCCACCGCGTCCCTCGTGCTTCCATCAAGATTGCTTAATTGCGTAATTCGCGTCGCGAATCACCCCCGTGATTACGATCCCGTAATTGCAACAGTTAGCCAAGCGATGTGCATAGCGCAATAGTTAAAGCTGCCGACTGTCAACGCGCCGTAACCTATTGCACTCGCTTTCATACTCCCCGTAGCATATCCCGCATACACCGGCGAATACTTTCTCATTTACAGTTGAAATATGGCCTTTCTATATTTCAGCGGCTTATGTTACATTTAATAAGTACGCTACGTGACATCGTTTAATAAATCTTCATTACGTACGTAATGCATGTAGCTGCTGAAATGTTAATAACGTTATTTAAAAGTCGTATATTATTTTATAAGTTGGATTTCGTCGATGGTTATTGTATTTTTTTTTTATTTGTATATACAAATATTATTCATATCCTGGCCGAGGTGATGTTTTCCGCGATGAATTCTTTACAGTGAGTTTTAAACAGAGTGCGTATTAGCATGAAAAATTAAAAAATTTCTTATTTATTTACGTATGTGGATTTACTGCTGCAAGAAACAGGGGACTGCGTTTTAAAACCGATAAACAATTGACGCGCATTTAATTAAATTTAGAAAAAGCATAGAAAATTCACACAGATCTATCGTTAAGCAACGAAGCTTCGACCGAAAAATGAAATAATATAATTATTTGTATTTTAATTACACGTAGAATATATTCCAGATGTGTCTGAAAAATTGTATCATAAGGACATTACATTTTGCGGGATATCTGTTGTTAAACGTTGTGGAATTTTAATTTAGCAATCTTCTTCTCGTATTTGTTGGCAGATAATTATACGTGTCGGATTAATACGCATTAATTAATTAACACGGGGCTTTAAAGAGCTCGATTTATAGTCCCGTGTTAAAATGGGAACTTTTGTTCTTGCCCGTAACCGTTTAATTATTTCTCATTTCCGCTGAGTAAGTTTTATTCCGTTGATTTATTACCGGGAAGAGTAATTAGCAGAGAATAATTAGAGACAATTTGTATACGCGGTTGACAATTTATCGCGGCGGGGAAGACGGCGTGAGGTATTTCAGCCGATAAGCCCTCGTCCCCGTACAAATCGAGCGCCGCAACTAAAGTCCGTCATGGACATTTCTGCATCGTCGTTGCAGCGCTCTGCATAATGCATTTCCGTATTTTCTTCGCGCGCCGTACTCTCTACCTACCACACCTTAGGGGGCTTCGAGCAACGCGGAATGAACATCGCGGAATACAATTCGAAGTAGCAGCTTTTTCGCCCCTCCGACAAGAACTAATTTGCTCGAGCAAATCCGCTTTGCAAAAATAAAACTGCTGCAACGCGAGAAGTTGGCTGCAACGAAGAATGAGAAGTCTCGGGAGTCCCGACTTTCGTAGTTTACAAATGCGTGATTTGTAAGAATGCGTAGCCTTGGAGCTTATAACTTTTGTAATTTTGCATTGCATCTGCCCACGGTGCTGATGTGTTTTTGATAACGCATATCCGAAAATTATCGGGGTTTTACACTTCGGTTAATTTTAAACGGGGATTCCCGCGAACGGAATTTTACGGGAGAATTTCGACGAAATTTTGACTACGGTAAGATCGGCGGCAAAAAGCAGAAACAGCCCCGGAGATCGAATAGAGATATGTGACCGCGAGCGCGCGAGCCTCCTCACATCTTTCGGCATGAAAGAAAAGCGTTTTTGATTGAAAAGTTTTCGTAGCTTTATCTAAACGCAAATTTTTCCCTCGTTAACGGAGATTCCCTCGGTCGGACACTTGAAACTCTCGCGTTAACTTGCGCGTTAAGCGCTTAACGCGGTTAAAGTTCATTTTACGTGGTCTCGTGGCCACGGGAATTTTCTCGGGGCATTTTCCCTCGGCGAAACTTTAATCGAAACTCTTAATAACAACATCGTTGGCCTTATCGCCGGCGGTGATAGCAGCGCGTCCGACCCCTTCTGTAATCCCCGCCGCGTCTGGCAAACGCGGCACCTCGCACCTCCCAAAGCCGCGGTCTAATTTTCCCGTCCCGTCAGAGCGAGGTTGATTTAATCATCGTCACGTCCTCGCTATTAATTAGCTGTATTAATTAATCGGACTATTGTTTCGCTATCGGAAGTCAGGCTCGCTTCGGTGCGATTACATCGGTAGATTATTATTTGGGTCCCCCAACGCCCGGGTGCCCCGGCCCTCCAACTCCAATTGGCGTCGTTAATATTGCGCCGACTTAGTTCTCCAGCGTGACCGACCGCATTCATAGTGCACATTAGCATAATTATGATCGTATGTTGCTGCGACGCCGCCACAGCTCTCTCTCTCTCTCTCTCTCTC